GTTTTCTTTCACATCTTTTACGTTCTTGTTCTTGCTTATGCCCAATGTACAGCCCAGCACCAACAATAATGATCAACAGCACACAGAAGACGATAAGACCATAGTTTGTTGAACGCTCGAGGACTTTACCGCTGAAAACTTCACCCATTCGGACAATGGCGAGTTCCACACCTTGATCGTAATCTCTCTTTTGCATGTATGGCTTCATTTCCTCAATGATAATATCAATCTGGTCATGGGATAACGATTTCATGGCTCTTTTTCCTGTGGAGACATACAGTTGACGATCTAAAATGGAAATCAGCAACATTGCTCCGTCATCACATCCCGCGTGGCCGACACCCCAGCTGTCATGTAAATGTTTGGCAAACGTCTTCGCTGTTTCTTCCACAGGTTCACCAGGAATGCCTCTCATTCGGTTTAAAACTGCAACACCAATTTGAAATCCAGGTTTCTCATCGTTGCTGCACCCTGAATAAGTATTTTTAACAACTGAATATATCAACTCTTCAATCTTGTTGGCAGCCTTGTAGCTGAGAATATTCTCCGGATCACAGATCCAGGAAACCTCTCCTCTACGACCACAACCTTTAACATCTCTCGTAGGATTCGGAAAATCCTCCTTGTACCATTCTCTAGTTGTCCTTCCTTCTTGCAGGAAACAAAAAGCCGCAAAAATAACCAGGAAAATAGCAGACGCGAATGCCATCTAGACGACTTTCAATTTTGTTTTGTCACAAGGATGGCCGCTGACTTATATAAAGCAGGCGCGCATCCTTTACGTGGACTACGCGCATTGGCCGCTCGACTTCCTCGCAAGTACCTGAAAATGTTGCGTCAGGGGCTGTTTACAAAAAGGTTCGTGACTAAAACCCTCCAGAAAAATCTGTAGTGTTTCAGGGCTGCAATTATATCTTTAACCAAGGGAAAGGATCACACTCTTCCACTTTACCTACATGTAAATTTCCTTGTTCTCTCGATATCCAAAAAGGGTCCTTGTGTAAAGTGCATTCTGTTGCTTTCGCAAAAAAGGTTTAAGTTTGAACGGTAAAATGCAGTTCTTCCACCTTAAATATATTAATTAAATATTAGAATCAAACCATAGTTAAAATCTTTGAAAAATTGTAAGTTTGCAAAAATATGTGATTAGACTTAACTATAAGCAAGTCTCAACTACCAGAGGTGATTAACATGTTACTTCTCCCTAGAAATATCTATACATAATTCAACAAATAGGTAATGAGAATACTCAAACTTATCGGGTAGAAGTTGTTATCTTGACTTCACAACAAATTCTTGTGACTAATTTAAAAGGAAATGTGTGGCAGCTAAATAGGGAGAATTAACAATCAGATCTTGGGAGTCAAGGGTTCAGATACTTGAACTGTGTCCATTTTAAAGAAGCTATTAAACATTCACTTGGTAAAGCTTGGTCAGTTCATGTTCTCATTCAAAAACTCAATTCTCCTGCATAAATTTGACAAATTTTTCCTCGAAAAACAATCAAGTTCACTGTTATTTGTATTTAATGGCCCACAAATAGCCCAATCACCAATAGCTTAATCAGGACTGTCCAATAACTGTCCAAGGTTAAACTGAGATTGTCTTCGCTTTATGTTCATGAAAGATGTTTTTACTCTTCCTTTACACTGTAAACACTTTTAAAAGTAAATAATTTGTACATCTCTTTCAAAACGTGAAGCAGATTAGAATGTCTGAACCTCTATTTCTAGTACATTTAACACAACTTTGTGTGATCAGATAAATCAAATGGAACTACTTTCAAAAAGCTGCAAATAATTTTATTACATGTATCAGTCCACAGCCAAGAACCTCTACAAAATATATTTACATGGAATATTGTGATACAGTTTGAACTTCTTATAAATAAAAATATGTGATGGGTGATCATGAGGAGGGTAGGTGCTAGTAATGATGTCACACAGTCTTGAGTTTTGTTACAATAATGACTCTTAAACTCTGGTCAAGTGCCGTACACACACAAAGCCCTTCCTATAAAGAAGAAAACAGTAAAACTGGTGTCAAAAGATTATCAGAGGGAATAACAATGATACAAATAAAGATTTTAGATAATTTAAGTTTGAATTGTTTTGTTTAAGAAAACAATTTTTCGTCCCAGAAAACAACCTCATTGCCATCCCCTTCCTCATCCATTGTCCATCTACAAGTGTAAAAATTTTTCAGTTTGTGTCCTTCTTCCTCCTCAAGAAAATTGCTGACTTTCAGACCCATCCTCTTTGGAAATTCCAATTAGTTCCACTTTATGGGGCTTCAACAGCAAGTGATTTGTGAAATTCCAATTAGTTCCACTTTATGGGGGCTTCAACAGCATGCGATTTGTGAGGAAACTCTTACAGTAGATCTGATTAAATGAAAAATATCATTTAATTTTAAATATTGACCTTACCATTACATGTATGCCAACTGACCTTATCTGGACTCCAGTCAAAGGAAGTGATTGGTTGAGTTGACAGACTGGCATTTTGCAACATTGATACAGAACCTATAACACCCATATCCAAGTCTTTTGCATCTTTTGTCACCCGCTGGTCTGGATATGAGCTAGAAATATCAAGGAGATTTGTAAGTAAATATATCAAGAAAACAAGAGAACACTTCTGTGCTTACCGATGGTGTGCATTATTTTTGGAAGGAAATTTTCATTTTTGGAGGAATAAGCTCAATATAAGGAGAGTAATTTATTTGACATGTACTTTGTAAGACATTGTTTTCCTAATATATTGGAATCCAAAGAATGGTTGCTCACTAAACTAATGGGAGATAGAAGTGGCTCCTGGTGGAAAAAAAAAGTGTTACAAATTATACCACTTACTATTTCCAGAGGTTAAGGGACCCAGACCCACCACAGGTCATGAAAATTTCACGGTTTTGTGGCAGATGTCTGACACACCAAACTGTAGACTTGTGAGCCTGTATGAGATAAATGTTATATTATTACCTGAGGAAAAAAACAACCAAGAAGAGGAAGAAATTTAAAGAGATCAAAGGTAACCATCTCTAATCACACAAAGGCCCAAGAAGAGAATCAGAAATAATTGTTAAAGTAAAAAGGTTAATATACAATAATTTTGGTGAAAAGCAATTATAGTTGTGGTTAGTCATAAATTTCATTGAAAATAAGAGTGTAACTGCACATTTAAAGTTGTCATGGTGACCATAAACTACACAAGTACAACTACATGTTAACTGCAAATCCTGGGTGTTATGAATTAACCCTTTACACTCTTACTAATATCAGGATGCATACCCTTTTCTATAGATTTCCCAAGGAGCTGGCAGGGAGAATTTGTTATACAAAAAGAGAGCTTCTATAGTTGGTGATCATCCCCTTTCTTCTTGTGACCTTAATGTGTGATTCAGGGGTGATATTGTAAGGAGAAATTAGATGCTAGTCACTCTTTGGAGTCAAAGGTTTAACAGATATAAATGCATATTTAAGTTTCAATCAAATATCACAGAATAAATATTTGCATCAAAGCAAAATACCTTCTCAGAGAGAGAAGCAAATCCTTTCTCAGGATGTTGTGTTCTTACATCAAACACGTGAAATTTTGATTCTAATGTGGTAGCCACTAGCTTGTTCATCATGATATCTTTTCTATCAAATTCAATTCCACAAACCTGCCACACAAGAAAATTGTGAGGTTAAAATAAATAGTAATTTGACTACAAAACTTAGATACAAGTAAAACATTGCTTCAAAATTGAATTTCAATGTTGTTCACAGTTTTTCTCAAGGCTAAAATCCAACAACAACCACCAATGTTTTAAATCTTGCTTAGCAACCTGGCCTCTCCTCTTTTTTCTATCTCTTGGTAAGCTTTTTGAAACTTTTCAATGTAGGAGCTCTACATGAAGCCATTTAAGACTCAAATCATGATAGTTCATTGTGATATCTCAAGCAGCAGCAGTTCATGTGATTCTCACCATTTGGAAGGGAGTAAATCAAACAAGACAACATCCTCAGGCAATGTAAGAGCACATTTGAAGACAACTATCAAACAGGTTTTTTTAGGTTTCTTTTAGAATCTTAAATAACGGTAAGTTGTAACTCTTTATACATACTTTTTAATTTGGAATAATACTTTAAATTAAGATCATATTTTTATAATCATATTTTAAAACCATTAATAAATAAATAATACTATCAGTTTATAATTTTTAAAAAGGATCACTTTTATCTATTCCAAGTGACCTTACTTAACCATGGTGAAAATCCGAAAAATAAAGTGATTGACATATGTTATTCACCCCATTTTTAACATTTGTCTCCCATCGGACAGTCATCTTTTTAAGGTCAAACATCTTTATATCACCATTGTCGTAGCCTGCTACAACTGAACGTTCTTCTGTATTGTAAGCATCTCCTGTAATAGGTGAAAATTAAATACATCTTTAGTCAATAAATGAACTGGAACCAAAGGAAACACTAGATATCCAATGGATATGACTGTATAGCAACTAAACTTAAAGCTTGAATACCAATCTAAAACAAAAATGAAAGAAAAGTAAAATAACATGATTTTAGCCACTGTTAAAAGTTATTAAAAGCAAATGTTTCAAGTGTTAGCCTTTCCGGCTCAAAACACCAGTGGTGGTTACTTTACATTATCAACTCGGAGGATTAAACCAAATTATCTTGTAATACACTGCACCAATGCAGCACCACAGTTTCTATTAACCCTTTAACTCCCAGACCAAGTTTGTGATTCTCCTTACTGTCAACCATACAATTCTTTTAATATTAGTCCTGAGAATTTAGTATTGGATCAACTAATTATCCCCTAATTGATATTTTTCTCCATTCTCATCACTTATCTGGTTGATATTCATCATCATCATCTTTTACTTGCCTTATTTACACAATACAAAAAATTTATTTACAGCAGTTATAGCTGGAAGGCGAGGAGACCCAGGAAGCCACTGGGCTTATGGAAGAGCCACCTCACTTACATTAATAAATAAAGTAAAGGAAAAGTGCTGTGAATGTGCGGCTAGGCCAATTCAGTGATTATTTAAGTAAAAACTCTTGCATTTTTGTCTTAAGACTAAGAAGGTTTGATGCACGAGTGACTGAAACTGGAAGAGAGTTCCAAATTTTAGGACCTTGCTAGAGAATTGTAAATTGCTTGAGATTTGTACAGCACAAATGCGTTTGATAATTATTGGCTGTTCTGGTACCATAGTTGTGAATTTGGCTATTTGTAACAAAAAGATTGAGAAGCAATGAAGGCAATAGATTATTTCTATAATAAAACATGAATTTGGCAATTTCAAATACATTTACTTGGAAAATATCTTAAATTCCTAGTTTGGAGAATAAAGGACCAGAATGGGCTTGATAGTCTGAGTTGGTGATAGCCCGCAGAGCTTGCTTTTGCAAGTAATAAATTCTATTTAAGTTAGATACGTATGTGGATGACCAGGTGCAGTTACAATGGATGATATAAGGATAAATTAAGGTGTAGTACAAAGTGAGTTTGGTTGTAGAGGATAGGAAAAAGCAAGACCTGAATATAATACCTATTGATTTAGCAATTTGTTTACATACATAGCTGATATAAACAATCTATACAAATACAATACCACACTTTCCTTAGTTAGAAACTTACCTCCTTTATTTATTTTTGAAAGAAAAGTAGATTGATAAATTATGTGAATTCTACAAACTGCAGCAA